GAATAGATCATAGGTAGAGAACTGCGTGACCATTTCGTCGTGACCAAAAAAAACAAAAATTCTTCGATAATAGTTTCCACGGTGGATGTGAAAAAATAATTCTGTTTGATGTTTTCTATTCAGAATTTTAAGCTCTTCAAAATGACACAAAAAAGTCGAGGATATAATGATCTGCGACGGAGAAAACTGCGGCACATTCGTCGTGACCAGAAAGCTTCGTGACCGATCGTGACCAAAACTGGTCACGACGAATGTGCCGCAGTTTTCTCCGTCGCAGATCATTATATCCTCGACTTTTTTGTGTCATTTTGAAGAGCTTAAAATTCTGAATAGAAAACATCAAATAGAATTATTTTTTCACATCCACCGTGGAAACTATTATCGAATAATTTTTGTTTTTTTTTGGTCACGACGGAATGGTCACGCAGTTCTCTAATCATAGGTCATTTTATAACCAACAATGAAAATATCTTCACTGTCGTTGAATCAAATCGTTTGTTTTACGAATAATTTTTTGTATTAATCAAAAAAAATTCTAAGAACTTTTATTAGTGATACCACTCTAATAGATAAGTTATAAAAATAATTATATCGGCACTAATTATGCACAAAAACCATAGTGAAGCTCGACTATGTTTTTTTTTCAGAATTTGAGTATCTATTGCTCGAAAACCTAATCACTTATTGTATCTCTTTTCTATAAAATAGAAAAAGTTAATTCAAATGTTCTCTTGAAATCAATTCAATTGTTGAAACTTTCTATTGCATAAACTTTCAAAATTGATACTCAAGCAAAGTCTTCAGGAAGTACTTCTTTGTAAAAAGAAATCCTACATTTTAGTTAGTTTTTTATCATAACTACATCGGCAGTGATCGACGAAATAAAATAAAAAGAATGAGCTTTCTATCATTTTTTGCTTCACCACAGTTGAATCTAATCATTTAAAATGATTTCATATTATTCATGTACGATTGAAAACTTTTTCGGTACTAACTCAAAGATCAAGTTTTAGTATTCGAACTGTTATGATCATTGAAAATAGTGGTGTATAACCATACGAAATGATATCACTGATAAGATTTATTCTTAGAACTGAGATTGTTTTATCAAGTACTTCACATGTATATTTTCTTATCTCGAAATAGATTAAAGTTTTTACACACAACACTTATTTAACTTTGTTTGGATAAGAAGATTTTTTTCAACTTTTGTTTTCCTAATAACAAACATTTTCATAATTGTTGAGCGAAAAATAGGAAAAGGAGTGACTTCGTCAATCCTGAAAAGTTTTCGGTTTTCTACAGCATTTTTTTCTGCTCACTATCTCTCAAAAAACGGTTCGACTGTCTTCACAAAGAAAAATTTTTCAAAAATTTTTCTCGATGTCAAAATACGAGAAATCACTTCAATTTGAACACACACACATATATATATATATATATATAAAGAAACAAAAAGTTATTTTATTCAAAAACCAATTAAATTTCATCATTCATCCAGTAATTGTAGAAGTCTTCGAACTTGCTCATTTCGAAAACGTTTTAGAATAACTGAATCCAGACATAAGCATGTTGAACGAGACATGTATTGCATGGTAATAGAAACAAAAACAAACAGTTGCAGTATTCTCTATTGCCAAATAAATCACATAGCTTGTGCACAAACTTCGTGTGCTTATTTTTACAAAACAAAAAACTTTTTTATAACCAATAATTTCTCTCCGTGCCCATGGGTAGATTCTGTGTGTCTGCTCGAGACACCTCTTTCCAAAAACTATTAGTGCAATCACTGCAGAATTAAAATATGCTAGATGATGTAGGTGCTGTATTTAATCACAGGAAGATCGCTTTATTTAATCTATTTTGGGACACATTTCGTCACCATCCTTCACCAGAAATGCAATAGGAAAGTAGTCCATGTAATATAACGAAATGTTATTGATATATGATATTTGATCGTATATTAACAACATGAGTGGACGAGCGTTCATAATGCGTCTGTGAGAGATTCAAGTTTCTTTTCCTATACTTCAACTGTCCTTTTCGATCATGTTTCACAAAAGTTAAATATTCTTTTTTGTTGATAATCATTCAATGTTTTAATTAAAATTATTTTTGATAAATTGTAGTTACTTCGTCGACAGGTTAGTCATCGACTTGGTAGTGGGCCAGAAGATGCCGAAGCAATTAAAGTAATAAAAATAAAATTTTTATTGATTAAAGAAACAAACAAATTCTTTATAGAATCATTTATTCTTTCGTCATCTTAATTGGACAGATGTCTATACTAAACGATATGATCCACCATATAAACCTATTCTTAAAAGTGATGATGATGTTAGTCAATTTGATACAAAATTTACAAAACAAACACCTGTTGATTCACCTGATGATAATATGTTAAGTGAAAGTGCTAACCAAGTTTTTCTCGTATGTTTTATTATTAAAAACAAATATTTTTTTATATATAAATTGAATTTCTTTTTAGGGTTTTACTTATGTTGCCCCATCGATAATTGAAGATATGAGTCGAGTACATTATTCATTGAATAATGGACATCGATCACCAAGAAAAATCATATCACCTGAAATAGCTTCTCAAACGTATAATTAATTTTTCTTTTTTGAATGAAAATTTTAGCAAATTAAATATAAATAATTTTTTGTTTTGTTTTTTCTAAGATTTTTTTTCAAAATGTCTGGATCAAATGGTGTAATTGATCAGCTAGGTGCAGCATCAGTTGAAGCTATGGATACAAGTGATGTTTCAAATCCCATGCCATCATCATCATCATCATCTCGATTTACAGTCAAACCATCCACAAATACGAAACAACAACCAAACAAACCAATGAGTCCAGGTATGATATTATCCTCTGTTTGTTGTTTTTTTGGTAATGAACTATTAATAATCTTTTCTTTTTTTAACAGAAAAACCGATGTTTTATATATAAGAACTACAACAAAAAAAAAGTTCTTTCATCTCATGTGGGTGTTTATTCAAATGCTTTTGAGTTATTCTGTTTAACATTGTAAAAAAAAAAAAAAAGAAACAGCGATATATTTATCGAAGAAAAAAAAACCATTAATAGATTAAATATTAACATTGAGTTAAATTTCATTTTTTTCCTTTCCTTTAGTTAATTCCGGTCTTCCTTAATGATCATCAAAAGTAAATTTTAATAAATTAAATTATTTATTTTTATATGTCGTTTTTTGTTTCAGTCGGTATAACGCAAATTGATCAATTGATAAAACTGCGTTTTTACTTTCCTTTCCTTATTATTTTTTTTTTCCGAGAACCAAAAGATTGTTATCACTGTTGTTCTTTTTTTTTCTTTGTTACTTCTTGCTCCCTATTGTTATTTTTGGCACGTTATATATTTATATCTCCACTTATATTCATTTACTTTTTCTTCCAGATGCTGTAATTCTTGTCTACTGTTATGATGATGAAAAGAGAAAGTCATATTTTTTTTTTTGGTCTTAATATTATCCTTGAAATATCCATGAAATACACCTTTAATTATTATTTGTATGCGTGCCCATTTGTTTTCTTGTTTTCTTTCTTTTTTCTTGTTTATTAGTAACAAGAATATCAAGTGATGATCTTATTCCGTCTATTTATTTTCGAATGAAATATTTGACAAATATTTACAGATAAAAATATTTAAAACAACAACAAACGATTGAAATAGTTAAAAAATAGTCACGAATAAAGCTATTGGAATGATCAACAACGACGGATAGATGTTTGATGAGCTGAGCTAAATATATAAAATAATAATAATTAGTTTTAATTGTATGTTCACAAAAAGAAAATTAAATGATGAGTCTAGCTCAGTAATATTATTTCTTGAGAGTTAAGCACAGAGTGAGTCATAAATAATATTTAGATAAATTGAAATATCTCAGCATCTGTTCAATTACATTGGAAGCGTAAAAATTTATTCAAAGTTTGTTTTATCATACAGATAAAGTAAGCAAATATTACAATGAAGCATAGAAGTATATTGCGGTCCTAGAAAAGACAAGGTTACTGTGTCGCCGCCGCAGAGATCGCTACCTCGGAAAATTAAATAGAACTCTTGATGTCTTGAAAAGTCTTTTCTGAAATATACATATCAAAAGGTGTGGGTGTAGATCTTCTTTTCAAAGACATCAATACCAACATATGCACAGTTCCACTCGCTTGAATATTAATGAAAAATACACGCATAGCTTATTATTTATTTTGGTCAAAACTTCATATGAAAGGCTCAATGTCGCTGCGTCCGCTACTATGAAATATTATTGCGGATGTTATGAAAACAACTTAATCTATTTTGAAACAAGAAAAATACATGTGTAGCGTTTCATGAATAAATTTCAATTGTTATATAGAGGGTAATGAAAAGAAATCAAAACAATATATACATTGATGCACAGAGCAAATTTACAGAATCATGAATTTAAGCATGTACTAAATTCAAATTTCGCCTTCGGAAACTATCTGATCAGTTTAGACAATGTCGGTTATTTGCCAAAGCATTTCTTCAGGTATATGAGCAATCATAGAAGCATCGGAAGTTTCGGTTCGAGCTCGAGTATCTCTGAACATTGTCGATTTCGTATAGTATGCCTAAAAATCTTCGGTTTTGGTTGACTTCTATTTCTTTATTTTTAATTGACCGAAAATACTAATTGGTTTAAAAGTAAACGATTACAAAATTTCGAATTTTCAAACATGGACTACTCGTCTTTTGCAAAGAAGTTGATGCCCCAATGAGCTCCAATTGTCTGTTTTATTTATGAGACAAGAATTTCAGCATTTACACTTACTAGTAAAAAAGAAAACTTTAAATAAGCTGCTACCATTAACCAAAAGCTCAGCCCATTCGAGCGAACTGAAGCGAAGATATTTCAATATTTTATAATTCAATCTGTATTTTCTGAGAATGTTCCTAAATCGATTATTTATAAACATTGCTGACTTTCTTGTATTACTGAATATGTTCTCTTTAGTCTATCATCATTAAAGTTATAATATTTGTTAGAATACATACAACAACATATCGATTGCATCGATCACCTTGGCAACATTCAGCACATGCCCAATCTTCATACCAATTACGTGTACAAATTGAAGCAAGACCATAAAGAACTAATAGAAGAAAAAAACATTCTTAGACTTAATTATCGAATATAAAATACGTACGTCGAGTGCATCCTTCATGTTTATCACATCCTTTTGAAATATAATGACGACGTTCAGCACGAGGTGTCCTAAAATACATAATTGAATTTTATTTAATAAAAAAAAGAATACTGATAATTATATTTTTACCATTCATGAGGTGTTGTCCAAAGAATAAGAGAAGCACATGCATCTTCCTCTCGAGCACACATACGAACCGTTTTTATACATTTGTCATTATTGCCTTCTTGTTGTTCACATACGTAACATTCGAGACCATTAACTAAAAAATATTCACACAAAAATTATAGAGAAGGAAAATAAACATTTTAATATATACCTGAATGAAAACTAATGAGTACAACAAAAAGAATCAATACAATAGACATTATAAATTCAAACAATTAAGACACAAGACTTTTTTTTCTATTCGTGTTAACCTTTTTCGACCGGTATGACCTATACACAAATAAAGGACAAAGACGTACAACACGTATACTTGGCGACATCTGTATCATATTCGAAGCGAACACCTATTGTTCGCTTTACGGAGTGAATCGATATTTGACAGTATTCAATGAATTTGTTTTAAATGAGAAAATGCTATAATGTAGTTTCTCTTTGTTTACGAATAATATGTATATTTATAAAGTTGATATAGAACGCTATGTTGGAATGAATGATTCTTGTAAAAATGAAGTATATACTTAGTCTATTTATTTTATCTTTTTATTATTCAATTTGAAAATTAAGAATTTCTTTCAATTGTTGGACTTGCCACAGAACCATTGTTCTTCAAATAGTTACTCCTTTGACATGAGGTTGAAAACGAAAGTAAGATGGTGTCTACATCGAAATTTAATATACTTGTTCATTTTTTTATAATGAATCATAGTTTCGAACAAGTGTCATTGACGAGACTGTCAGAAAAAAATCTTAAAGTTTTTCCACAAGAATAAAATCCTTGAGTTTTAAAGTTCATTTTTAAACTACAGAAGATATATACATATATTAGCACATTTTTTTTGCTTTATAAAACCTAAAGTCTAATGTTCTTGATACAACTATCAACAAAATAAATAAACAAACAGAATCTCTTCAATACTCTAATTAATGAAATGAAAGTTGTTTAAGTTTTGTTTTCTCTATTGAATTTTTAATCATCATATTTGAGAACATTCAGCATCACTCCCATCATACATCATCAAGTCTTCTCATTATCACTCGTCAGAGAAACAAGTTAATTATTCGAAAAGTCTTTGTTATCATTTATATGATTTATTTGGTTCAACACATTTTTCTATCAATGAAAAGAAGAAGATAATTGAATATCATCATATCTATGTGAGAACTTGATCGTCAGATCTTATTCATCTTATTAATAATGTAAAATAATAGTATACATATTCGATGAGATCGTGATAAGATACAAGTTTCAAATTTTATTTTTTTTGTGATAATTATATTTCATGCAAAAATGAACGCTTGAATAGAATTTCACAAGAAAACAGTAATTGTTCGTCAAATACAAATAGTAATTTTACCAAGTAATCACCAGCATTAAAAACCTAGAAACCAAGAACATTCGGATCTGCTTATATTATTGATATTCATGACAATAATGTAAAAATGAATTTGTTTTTTTTTGTTATCGATTTTTATTAACGTTGATACTGTATAGGAAATAAAAACAACAGAAAACTAATGGATTGTCTCGATGAATAGCTTGATTATCACTAATATTTAAAGAAAAACAAACAAAAGTATATTGTGTTCTTATTTGATTTCTATAAAAATTTTTAGTTTTACACACAAATTAGTTTTTACTTATTGGATCTGTATGATTATTCTCCTTAAGCTTAAAATCATAGCTGGTTAAAATTTTGGTCAATTTTCATTTTTAATTAAAGTTTTAATACTATGTTTCAATATTCAAAAAAAAAAAAGAAATATATATCCAATGATCATTTTCTCGTTCGTAGTGTTCTTTGTAATCTAATTTTTAAACGTAAACAGTTACACATGAAATGTTTGACAAACAAGTCTCTGAAAATCTTTGTAGCTTTTAGTTAGAGTCTTTTCATCTAAACATTGACTCGAATTAGGTAAGAAATCATCTGTAAAGGGTATTCAAGAAACGAGTTGTGAATTTGAGCAGTTGTTTTAAGACTATTACATGTAAGAATTCTGCACTGTCTAATTTTCTAAATGAATGAAGCATACGAACTTTTAAATGAATGTTTTGCATTTCTTGTCTAATGTATACTTGCTACGAAGGATTGAATAATTCGTACTTAGTCAACAACTTCTGAGAACATTGTTGAATCGGACAGGATCCGATCACTCACTTTTTACTAAATTTCAACTGTTCATAAGTGTTGAAGTCTAATAAGAAAAGGTTTCTGTCAAAATTTGACAAAATCTTATTGAAGTTTAAAGAATTTAATAGGAACCAACGGTGTGTTTGAGCTACAGGCTGATTCTATGGGATTAGAATCATATGGAATCAATAAAAACACTTGGAATCAGCTATTTTTTCCTTCGGTAATTCTATGAGATCATCTCAAATCACTTTTTCTTTTGTTTGAGTGATACAGAAGATCGCTCTACCTAATCATAATAGTTAATATTAGGGTTGAGAAATTACCGTTACTTTACCAGTAACACAGTAATAGACAACAGAGAATGTGTGAATATATCAAAGAAAGGATATTTTACAAAATAAATGATACTTTATAAAGTTTGATCAAAGATTTTTCGAGTCGAGGGATTCACATATGTAATCGATTCCTCTAAATTGAATACTTGATTTTTCGGTGTAGCAAAGGCTATTTTAGAACGCTTAACCGAGAAAATCGTGGTTTTCTTCCAATAGGATGGGGTGTGGGTATGGGTTTGAACTAGGTACGTATTTCATATCTTTTTGTTATACGTTTAAATAATGAACTGTAATTTAATAAAAAAAACAAACATAATACAGTTGAAAACAATAAAGTTCTTTCTCAAAAAATTTGTGAACATTGAACGCCAACAGAAAGAGTATGAGTCAGACAAGTCCAGATTAAAAAAGCTATTTTCGATCAGATGTTCTTTACGAATGTCTTCTAAAACATAGAAAAATCATGAACAAGCTTTAAAAGTAAAGCTCTGCATTAGATTCGTATGTAATTGAATGACATTTCATCTATCGGATCTATCGAATTCATACTTCGATGAAACATACTAGAAATAACTATAATGAAGACAAGCAATTTTCGTTTGTGCAAAAGAGAACATTGAATTAGTAGATTTTCTTCAGATAGTAATGATCAGGTTTTATTACAGATGGCTAATGAATTTTTTTAATAGCCATAATAAAATACTGAACTCTTATTTGATGAAATACTAACAGACATGAATTTATAAAGTTGAACGAACGATGAAAAAAAATCAAATGTCCTTCAGAGTTAATGTTTTCTTTCAAGCTATTGATGTTGCATGCACATGTTTCGTTCTCTGTAGTCTAGTAGATATTATGCTTCTATTAATTAAAGTAAACAAATACTTGAAAACCTTTACATTTCTCCATAGGAATTCTTTTTTCATAGCATGATTCTTAATCTATATTGACATGAATGTTGTGAACCTGATGTTTCAACATGTTTCGTTCTTTTATACTTGTTATGCGTCAACAACTACAACGTAAATGTATAGGTTTGTTTTTCTCTTTCGGTTGGTAAACGAAACAAAGAATTTGTCTTTCAAAATTTTAAATCAATGTAACTTATCTTATTTTTTATAATAATATTGTAAAAACTCATAATACTAAGCTAGTTATATGGAATTTTGTTTTCTTGTTGGGTGAAAAGCTTCATCGCAGACGATTATAATCGTTAGGTTTCATTAAGGAAAGAGATTTCAAATAGTTTTCTCATATTTCATATTCTCTCTTAGTGAATGCATTCATAGGCGAGTACTCATGCTATAACATACTGCAAAAAATCATGAGTACTCATCATTAATACTCGTGCTAGGATCTGAGTATGACAATAGAATACTCGCCTTGTAATATTATGTGTTTTTGTGTGTACTTCGGCAATGTATATAAGCTATTATTTATAATCGTATATTTTGTTTAAGTATAAATTTAATAATGAAGGGCAAAGATAAGATCAGTTTGAGAGTCAGAGGTAGTATTTTTGACTGCATACTTTTTGGATAAAGAATCTAAAGAAAACTTTCTATTTATAGAAAATAAAGTAATAGTAAACAAAAACATGTATTCAGAATAGTACATCAGTAAATAGAAATGAATAATAGATTATTCTAACGAAAATCTATGATAAATAGTCTTGATTATTACTAACAACCAGACTGATACTTTTAAATTGATGAATGTCTTTTATTTAGTAGTGAAAAATAAATTATATTATTAGTTTATAGTATGATGCATATGCATTTATAATAGAAAATTGTAATTGATTTGTAATAAAAGTTATTTGTCGTTTCTAAAGTAGAAAAATATTTTGATCTCAATTTAGGAAGAGAAATTAAACAAGTTATCATTTGTTCACTTAAGCATGTATTTAATTTCACTCGAAAACTCCACAATTGAAAATGAAAAGAATTATTTTTCTTTTCTTTTGTTTAATAATCATCTTTCATTTGATCACATCATATTTCTTTATTATATTAATTTAATTTACTTTTGTACATACGATTTTTGGTAAGTATTCTATGAACAAACAAGGATGAGTACTATATTAATAACTCATGCTTACGTTTCTAAGTAAATCTGTAAAAAATAGCTCTACGGAAAAATATCAGGTCTGAGCTCGAGAACAACTTCATAGGTTCTATAGCTTTCACTAGGGTGGACAAACTATATCTATTATTTGTTTTCGTTTAGTATATGCATGAAATAATTCTATAAAACTAACAAAAGGTGTGTAGAAGAATGAAGGTTTGATGTACTAGAATTATTGACTTATATGAAATCATGGGTTCATAATATATTCATTCTACTCTCGGAGCAATGTTCCATGAAACTTTGATGATCTTTTGTAGGAACTTCTTCAAGTGTCAAATGGTTTTTCAATTAAGTGATGTTCATTTAATGAATAGTAGAAAAGTCTGGAATAATTTGGTTTCCCAGGTCTTCGTTCTTGAGATACCAAATCTGTATTAGATTTTTCAACAGAAAGCTGTGATCTTTCTCAGGTCAGACTTTCGAATTTTGTTGGAACAAAGTTCTCAATAAGATAAATTCATTGAACAAGCTATTTCCTTAGAGTATCGTCTATCCTGAGATATTTAAAATTCGAAAGTCTGTCATGTGTAAAAACAAAATTTTGTTCATATATTTACATATTCACGAGGAAAGCTAGAACTTGAACAATCAACTAATCTCATTAAGAACTTTGTTTCTGGAAAGTCTGAATTCGAAAATTGCAAGTCGATTTTTCACGTGATCTGAGGAGGACCAACGCTTTTTGTTGAAAAACTCAGTGAAATTTCGATATCTGAAGAACGAAGATCCGGACAAGTAAACCATTCAAGAATTTTCTATTATTCTCTAGTACTCATCCAATGAATGTCATCTCGGTTGAAAAGCGATTTGACATCTCGAGAGGTTTCCACGTTAAATCTTTTTATTAATTTTTACTTTGTAGCTTTAACTTTACTTCATGATAAACAAAAAAGAATAACATTGGAGTATGAAATTGTTTTTTGTACGCTTCGTTTTCATAAATTAAATCGATTTTCAATTGATTTATATTTCATATAAATTTTCAGTAATTTATTTGATTATTTTTTTTTTATTGTAGCGCGTTTCTGACGATTCTTTTTCTTTAATCATTGTTTTCGTTACTTGTTTCCAAGAAAAGAATGCAAAGAAAAGTTAGCAACAGATGTAAATTCACAAGGCACCCATGTGTTTTTTTTTCTTTTATATTTTTACTTTGTCAGTTGTTTTCTCCTTTTATTTGCTCTATATATGAGATGCATGAGATGTTCAGCAACACATTCAAGTTTATTAAAACTGAAGTATTGAATGTTTTACTTTCTCTATTCACTCTCGTTTTATTAGACTATGATGAAAGCCATGTTTTGCATTCGATTTAAACCATACAAATATTCTGTGCAACTTTTTAGATCCATTAAAAATATATTGTTTTCATAATGGGAGGTTGCGCTGCACGTCCAAGAGCAGTTGTACATCCATCAGTTATAAGATTTGTGCCTGATGATGATGAATTACCAATAAGAAGTATTGATCGAAAAAATCTCGAATCATATTATTTATTTTGGCTTGATAGTACGGTAAGATCACCTGAATTTATAGAAACTCAAGATGAATTACGTTCCATAATAAATTACATGAAAATATTCGAATCAAATGACGAATGTGAAAAAGAATTTTAAAAAATTGAAAATGGTAAAATATTTTTTATTGTCAATTGTGTTCAAGGTTTATTATTGTTACCAAAAGTTCATGATCACAAACAATTACATTCTATTTACATGTATCATAATCGTGATAATATTGATATGAATCAAATAGAAAATCAATATAATAAGGTATTGTTTAGTTGACTTGATTGATTTTAAAAAATATGTCTTTTATTAGATTAGAGGAATATATGATTTATTCTCTACAGCTAAACGATATTTAGAAGATGATGTTAAAATACATACAGATCTTGATGATCCAATGATAATGGACATTGTTACTGAAGAGAATAATTTAGAATATCAAGAACAATTTGCTTTATTTTTAAAGATAGTTAATGTTAATGCAAAAGATATTTATGATAGTCAAACTCGAGATCGCTTAATTGAAACATATTTGGAATATTATGAAGGCAATGATAGTGAAATAAGTTTTATCGATGAATTCGCTGAGTCATATAAACCTGAGACAGCTATTTTATGGTATATGCGTGGATCTTGTTTACATCGTTTACTTTCTCGTGCATTTATTGATCAAGATATGAGTGTACTTATTGATATGTATTCATTTATTGTGGATATTAATCGAAATATAAAAAAACAAAGTATGAATCAATCATCAAAATTACGTGTATATCGTGGTCAATTTATATCTAGTGAAACATTATCTTTATTAAAACATAATATCAATCAAATAATAACAATGCAATGTTTTTTTAGTGCTCAAACATCACGTGATGAAACTGTTAATATTCTTCAAAGTATTGAACCAATCGATAAAACTTTAAAACGTATTATATTCGAAATCGATACATTACAAGATTATACATTTGTTGATTATAAACAAACATCTACATCAAAAACAATTCTTTTTATACTTGGTGCACAATTCAATATTATTGATGTTAATGAAACAACAGTTATATTATCTCAATGTACTTCTAATTTAAATACTAATTATGATTTAGCAAATGAATCATCTTTAATTATTCGAGGTGTACTTACCTATTTAAAATATGGAACTACTGAAGCTATTAAATATTTTAAAAATATCTTAATTAATGGATCAGAAATTGACTTAGCAACATACTCATCTATATATGGACAATTAGGATATTTAGAACAAAAATTAGGTAATTACAATGTAGCGACAATTATGTATGAAAAATCAATGCATAGTGGAACAATGCAATTTGGTGTTTATCTTTTCTATCTTGATCAAGCAGCTCAATATCATGCCAAAGTACTTAAAAATTGGGAAAAAGCAATGACTTTATGGATACAAAAACTTAATATTCAAAATACTTTTCTTTTGGAAGAAGATAAAGCCCAAACGTATGAAAATTTAGCCAATGCTGCATTTGAAACTAAACAATATGCTAAAATAGTTGAATATACATTAGCAGCAATTGAAAATTTACCAAATGATCATCCTCATATATCATTTCTTCAACAACAATTAGAACAGGCTAAAAAGAAATTATCTGAACATACTACAAATTGATTGAACGTTTTTTTGTTTTCTTCTTCTTCTTCATTAATGTGTCTTCAATGAACAGTCTCAAAGACAATCTTTTTCTTTATATATCACTGTAATTACATTTTATCTTAATTGATGAATTACATCATAGAAAATAAAATCGAAGAAAAATACATATTTATACATTTTGGAAAATATTTACACAAATATTTCTAAGGTCTCTTTATTTCAATTCTTACATATTGAGAATCTATTTCTGAGTTACTTCAAACATTAAATATATAGAATGGATCGTGAATAGCACTACGATAAAAAAAGCGATTAAATATCTTTAAGTAGGTTCAATCAAATGAGTTGGGTAGAAGTTTATCTCAAAGCTTTTTTTCATACAGATAAAGCAAGTAAATACTACTATGAAGTTTTTGTTTTTTGTATCATGAAGGAAATTTTATTTGTTATCAAATATATTGATGCATATATTGCAAGAAAGTTGGTATTTTCATGTTCAAAAGTCTGAAATTGTGTGTTTTATTCATAGGACACGGATTTCAGCATTTTAAATTGATTAATTCTGAAAAATTGCTCTATAGTGATGGACATAAATTTAGAATTGTTATATTTTTGAGCTTTTCGATAGTAATAGCTAGGTAGAATCTGAGAAAACATTTGAGTAGCCAAAGGAATTCTTTATCGAAATTTGTAAACCTATAAACTCAACTAAAACTGTTTGAATGCAGATGCCGGGAAAACCAAGACCCCCTAAACCAGTTTTTCGGCATCCATTTGAAGCTTTTTGCAAATGGCTTTATTTGATAGAACAAATAATCTTAAGGAAAATGAGATGTCTCTGATCTCTTCATGACCTTGCTTCATCGACCTGTATTCTATTTATAGAAGGCCCGAAGGCGTCACATACGACGAAAGTATTGAAATGTTTCTTGAGTTTCCTATAAATAGAATGTAGTTTTCCGACGGAACGTCATTAAGAGATCCAAATCATCTTATTCTACTCTATCAAATAAAACTATTCCCAAAAAGTTTAAATTGGATGCCAGAACACTGGTTTCACGGGTTTTAGTTTTCCAGACATTCTTATTCAAGCAGTTTTATTAGAGTTGGTAGGTTCATAAATTCCAATAGACAGTCCTTCTAGCTACTCAAATGTTTTCTCAAATTCTTTCTAACTATTGCCATCGAGAGAAAAAACACAAAAAATATAACTGCTCTAAACTTCAGTATCATTCATAAAGTTCGTTTTGACTTCTTATTCTCTTACACGACAACTAAAAGTTATCCATGAAGTGCTTCTATGTTATCCGTATGAAAAAAAAAACTTTAAATAAGCTTCTACTTTTAACTAAAAACTCAACCGATTCGAGCAAACCAAAGCGGAAATATTGAAATTTTTTTATCATACTGCTATTTATGGTCTACCCTCTGTATGCGATATGTAATGGCTAATTTATAAACTAAAGTGTTTATGAAAAAGCTTTAATGAACGTGAAAGAGAAGAGTTCAAGCATATTCTAAAAAATATGAAAACATGATTAGTAGAAAGTGAAATCCTCATGAACTATATTCAATGAAAACAAAAACAAAAATTTCTGATATTTACTTATAAAAACCTTGTTTTTTATTGATCATATGTTTTGAATTCATCGATTTCATTATTTTATCTATTGACTTTGATTAACTCTTTTGATGATTTCTAATGATTCATTTTAATTCTTAATGACTAATCCATCTATGACGACAATATGGTAATCATATTAATGGAGAAAATAGATTCAATCACTATGTCGTATCTTTTTCTTCTTTATCTACAATGTACACATTTTCTAATTGAATTTCCGTTTCTCTTTCAAAATATAAATACCAGTTTCAATTATTATTTCTATACTAGATCATATATGGGAATACGATTAGTTACTGAATGAATATTAGGAAATATTAAACACCACTTTCAATAAAACCGTGATAATAAAAATTCCATCATCAAATGAAATATGCCTATCTGAAAAATAAGAAAACAAAAAAAAAATATTATAAAAAGAATGCATCAGCATAGTATCCTATTATAATACGATCTGATCAATAGAAAGTTATTCTAACAGTAAGAATACCATGTAAAAATAATGTATAACATGTGAATTGTTTTCTATGTTATTTCACAAAAATGAAAATTATATATCATATCAATAATTATATTAAAAGCAATATCAATACTCTTTTCGATATTTATTCGCATGAATTTTTTTTGTCTGTCAATTATTGCTGTTGTTCAACATTATTTTATATTTTTTTTTCATATATTGTATAAGTGAGCGAAATATACAAACGAGTTTTAAAGTAAAAGCATGGATAACAGTTCTATAGATAAAAACCTATTTGATAGATATATACATCAACATCAAGAGTGTATAAAATCACTGAATACATATAAATGATCAAATAAGTAAACAAATTTCACTTATTAAATATTGATTAACAATGAAAAGAATAAGTCAGTTCTGTGTAGTAAACATAACATTGCAGAATAGTACATTGGAACGCATGACATTAGCACTTTAAATTGAGTAATTGATAGAGCAAGTCAATTTGGTTGGTCGAAAATTTTGAACTTCGATGGACTATAATCAACTAAGAAATGTGTACAATGCACTAGTCGTCAAATAAAAAAATTTGGACAAAATTATCTCGTATCTTCGGGGCGACTATTCCAATCTGATTAGAAAATTTTATTGAGAGTATCAAAGTACATTTCAATTGAGTCTGAATCCGAGGAACTCTAGTGATTGACTAATCTCATTCATAGATGTAGTAAATAATGTTCATTTATTTTATTTATATCAGTAAGATAAATTTGTCGAAGTTTTCCATAATTATTTTGAGTTGATTGATCGATGAAGAAGAATGTTTAACAAACATCCAGATAAGCTTTAACATGACGAACTCAATTTATGTTTTCCCATATGAAATAGTATCGATTCGATTAATTGATAATGAAATTCGAGTATATACTACTGAATTCAATTAGCATATAGTTTCATAATAAATGAAATTGTCAAGAAAAAAAAAGGATCATAGTCAATGTTATAAAGCAATGATTCCTGTTCGAATAAACAGTCGAATCAATAATCAATAATTATTCGAACGTTCGGATTCATTCAAGCATTAGCTAAATATCGATAGTTCAAAAGAACTAAACACAGAGCAGTATGTTCTAAAGTGGTCAAATCTAGATCAGATTGTGCTCGACATTCTATGATCAAGGTAATACGATGATCTTCTCGCATCAAACAATAGAATATACAATGAGAACATCATCGTCTTTTATGAATATATGTATCATATTCATACATTTCTATTAATAATATATGTACCATCAATACATTGTGTGTCTGTTATCGATAATAAGTAAAAACTTTGCGAGCAAATAAAATGAAACAAAGTACTATTGATGACTTATGAGATAAAATAAAACGACGGAAGGAAAACAACTTCATGACATTTATTACTCAACATGGTATTTTTAAAAATTCAATGAGAAATACTTTACTATCATTTAAAGAATAAATATACATATTTGATTTGTCTAAGATTCAATAATAGAATTTGTTTTGTGACAAAATCATTCAAATTTTGACATAAATTTGCAACAGTATTTTCCAATTGTTATAACAATACTATGAATGATACTTTTATTACATTATCTTTTCGATATTTCATTAATTAAATATACATATATTCTATCAAGATTTTCTTTTGAAATCTTATCAAGTTGAGCTCAATCAACTTTATATTATCTCATTTGATATTCATTCACTTGATATATTTTTAAATATATGTCATTAAAAATAACTAGCAAAACCAGTCGGGTACAATGTAAATATAATATGTCAATTTATTTTTCTTCTTCTTCTTCTGTTTTTTTCTATTTTTGAAAGCAAATAAAATATATTTGCATTCATATGGAATAATGTTTGACGAATAATGTTCAAGGATACAAAATAAATTGTATAGTAATCAGTCAAGGGAGTAGAAGTATGGTTTCAAGTAGAATTAGAAGACTTATATATAGATATTTATATATTTAGCGTCACATGTCAAATTGTTTCTATGATAAATGATATACGTCATCAGTGTCACGTAATATAGAATATGTGTTATATGCAAGCAGTTGCATATACTAACCGATTTCTTTCGACTAGAAGATTCGAAGATCACGCTACGAATAGCTCGAGGTTATTTTCTTATACTCTTATACATATACAAAATGTATATTCAATAATCTTTTCCTTATCTCTTTTTCCTTTCTTCTTTTTTTCTTTAGGATATAGATATGCGTAATCATTACCCTCAGGAAAGAAACATAATTAATTCTTTATACGCTAAAGATATACAGTCAGAATATCACTAATATATCTCATATCAAAAACCGCACAGTTGTTTCGATACAAATTAAGATGCACACGTCGTCGTTGTTTTTCTTTGCTATAGTTGTGATCATAGCATTGCATACTTTACCAATAACTGGTAAACCTGCAAAAAAAACTACAGCCGCAGCAACAACAACAACACTTGCGACAACAACAAAAACTCCTACTACTGCGAAGTCACCTCAAAAAGTACCAGCAGCTAAACCAGCGTCTAAAGGTGCTAAGAAAAAGAAGAAACCCGCAAAAACAAGGTATAAATTCTTTATTACATGTTGATATTGAAAAAGAAAAAAATTCTTACCATAATCCAGATTTCTTGCTGTCTTTAAACTTAAGAATCTATTAATCTATTTTATTTCTTCAATGCATAGTTCTATTTATCTGATCTCGGATTAAGTTTCATAAACGATGTTTTTTTCATGGAAATAGATCATGTTTCGTTGACTATTGCAAAATATTAATAGAAAACTCTTGAAGGTTATTAGAAAAATGTTAGTTGTATAAGATTATTTGACATTGTTTTTTTTTTCTTTTATTAATAATTCCTTTACAATGAAAATAATTTTATTAGATTATAAATCGCTTATTTCATACTAAAATTGATTTCTTTACATTAAGAATATTTTATTTTTTAGTGGAACACCTAAAACAAATCCTTGGACAGTGCCCAATGCTGATCAAAAGAAATTATTTAATGATGTAAGTATATCATATTCTTATATAATCTATGATAAAATTAATTCTATTATTTAGTATAAAGCTATTTTGCGTAAAAAACTCATTGCTCGAAAGCATAATATATCTGCAACATATCAATTAGAATCAGCTAAATATGGTTCCCAAGAGCTTGATAAAACCACTTTACATCATTATTTAGTAAGAGGAAGAGAAGAAAATAAACTGAAAGAATAAATATTACATTATTTTATTTTTAGATCAAATTACCCGATTCGAAATATGCTCATGCTATTATTGGTATAAACAAAGACACAAAGAAATCTGCACCAGTTAATGAAGATAATGCTTCGATTCGTCGTACAGTTTATGATAATCTTGCAACAGCTGAAGTCTGAAGAACTATATATATATCTTGGTTATGAAAGCAAAAGCAAAAGAAAAACAGTGACATCCTTCTATTCTTCCCTGTGTGCGCTTTTTTCCTTATTTCCACATATACACATAATATTTTCTCTTTTCTTGCGTTTTGACACACTCGAATTAGAATCGTCGTTGGCTCCCTTTTTTTGCGCTCTGGTTTATGTGTTCGAAGAAGAAGCAGAAGGAGAAGAAGAAGAAAAAAACGAGAAATGAGCATTGTGTTGATGTAAGTAGAGAGAAAACGACTTTTTTTTCTGTGTGGCAATGCTATAAGAAAAGAATCCTGATGTTGTTATATGCAGAAAAAAAATGAGAGAAAAAAACTTCCTAGTACGATGATGGAAAAATCATTTGATGATCAAGAGAATATAATAAGGTATTGCTGAATGACATTAAAATGATATTCATAGAAAATATTTAAAGGTAAGCTATATATGTATATATGTACAATGAAGAAAACGTTTGTCGTTTTTTTGGTTTTAAATTTTTTATTCGTTGGCTCTCTTAATTTGACAGATCAACAAATAATGACTATCAGAGGCAAATGGCAACGGAAATCGCCAGTCAGGAAATGGATGGGAGGGCATCCATAGCTCCAGAAAACAAAAAAGAGTATGCGAATGATGATGACGATACTAGATCTGCAAGGCAAATAATGATGCTTAAAGATGAATTGATAATTTTTCTATCATAAACGTAGTTATTTAGTTTTTGATAGCAATCAACAATAAATACATTTATCATTGAAAATATATTATAATAAAAAAGGTAAAAGCACTTATTCAACTAGATATTCTTTTTGCTTTATTAAATGATATTATTATAATGAAACATAGTATTACTTATTAAGAATAAGACAATTAAAAATAAAGCCTATTATCTTCATTATTTCTATGCATATAAACAGATATATTATTTCAATTTAAAAAAAGTGCATATTTGTTATGTCCTCAATCGTGTGAAAGAAACCGATGTAGGATCAGGTGTTGATTGCTTGCACACAAATCACATGCACATATATACACACTTGGGTAGGAATGATATATATTTTTTTCTTTTTTTTTTGTTGTCAATCTCATCTTCATCATTTTGGGCAAATCTTGAACGTTGCTAAACTATTTTCCGCCGTCGTGATCGTTTCGTATATAACCAGCAATAGCACATAATCGGAACTACTTAAAACAAATTAACATTTTTTTTCTCTTTTTCCAGCCTTTATTCGTCGTTTTCTCTTATGTTCTCTATCGCGCTTTCTGGCCAAGTCGAATTCGATTAGGATCTGAACGTTGACTACATAGGCCCGTTTTTTTAATTTTAGCACGAACAGGCCATCCATCCTCCGAGAATAGTTCGCTGCCGCCGCCACCACCACTACTACCACCCGTTGTCATCCTCGCTGTTTCTTTTTCCCACGCATGCTACTTTCTTCTTTGCTATTGTAGAATAAAAGCAAGAGAACGATATCGCTTTTGGTTCTTGCATTGTAACTATAGAGTAAGCTGAGTCAATAAAAAATACGCGTGTGACCATTCTATTCCGACATAGTGCGATGTTGCTCTATTATTACTTTCTACTTCTGCATCAGCTATTAATTTTTTATTAATGACCCTCTCTTACTCTTTAGTTTATGCTCTGCCCGTTCCGACGTTCTTTCTTTTTCTTCTTATTTCTCTGTTCGTCCAGCATTGTTATTCTCTCGACTCTTCTTTATCAATGAGAGCATTATAATTGGGTATGCATTGCTCTTCGCATATACGCTCTCTTTGTGTATGTGTAGCCATTAGAATATAATAATTGTATTTCGCTTCGAATTATAGATCTACAGGGGAGCGACAAGCAGAAAAACACAGATGTGAATTATATATAAAAAAAGCAAAAAAGCATTCCTTTCTATTGTTCTCTTTATTTAGATTTCTTTTATTTATTTTTTTCTTTTGATGTTTCATTTTGTTTCTTATTACATATGATTATCATATACATATATGTACTATAGTAGTTTTTGTTATTAGTCAGAGATACCACTTGAAAGTCAATTTGTGAAAAACAAGAGTAAGATTGCGTGTCTATGATCATGAAATGAGGGTGAGAGAGGCAGATCGATTTTTTTTGTTCTTCTTTTTCTCTTCCATCATCTAGTCGATCCGAGAATGCGACAAAATGCAAATCAAGTCACGTTCTCAAAATATTCACTGCCGAATGTCGAAACAATTGAACTAATTGTTTCTACTGATAAATTCATATAGTTCAGCAACAAGTATGATTTCCAATGTCATTTCTTAGTTTATATATCTATATATATCATAATTTGATAAGAAAATTAAAACTATCATTCTATGTATGAAATAGATTCTACGGATGCGCGATAGATCCATCTTAAGCTTTATTTCTAAAATTAATATTTATTTGCTTACTATAAATTTCGTTTCAAAAACAGCAATCTTATTCCATTGGAAGTTTTTCCTTTTATGTTTTTGCTTGAAATGAATCTTTTCGTGAAACAGTTCTATATTGTTTATAAAAACAGTAATATATCTATTCTTCTTTGCTTAAATATATCGATAGATATACGCTAAATCTCGCATTCTCACTAGATAAACTTCCGTTATCTTATCCTTTGTTAATTCATTCATTTTGTCAATATGTCCCTTGTCTAAATGAGATGAGTACTCATGATTTTCTAGATGAAAATTTGTTATTATTCTATTCAAATGTTAAGAAAATATCTAGATCTCTCTTTATAAAAGTATCGCGAACGAAGAGTGACTTGGAAGTAATAAGAAAAAAAGCTTTTTATGTTATTAAAATAAGAAGAAAAAAACTTGTTGACAATTTATACTATAAGAACGTGACGTTACAATGGTTATAAGTTTTTATAAACTCAATTGAGTTATCAGGTATATCAGTAGAGACTTAGTTGTAAACGATGAATGGACAACAAGTTTTATTTTTTGTTTTTGTTTTAGAAAATACTAAGCTTGATATGTTTAGTTTGAGTAATCGGTTTTTTTATTTTCAGAATAAAATAGAAAATAACAAAATCGTGTTTTCCTTTGTACCTTGAAGATTGCACCCTAAAGAATCGAGGTACTGACTGATTAATAGCGCCATCTGCAGGAAATGATTCAAATTCTTAGAATGTTGAAATATTTTTATCTGTTTATATCAGATTGTTGAAATGAAAGAGAACTTATAATTCTATGAAATCATTGACATGATTTTTTATAATAGATTAAATGTTAATAGTATGATCGAGGGATCGCTTCACATTTATATTTTAGTAAAATGAACTTTTTTCTCCATTTTTTTTTACTTTTTATATTTTGCATCTGTTAGTTTTAATTTAGTAAATTCTTTTTCTTTTTGATTCTCTCGTTTTCCACTTTTTTTCCGTTAAATCAACAGAAATGAAATGTTCACTAATATATATTTTCCATCATATTAAGTTTTCTGTTTGTTTTTTTTTTCGAACATCACTCAGCAATGAAACGCCATGCATGTATGTGTTCTCAATTCCCATGATCTGGTACTTTGTCATTAAGGTTATTTCTTTTTTCTGTATTATTAAACATTACCCTGGTCTCATCGAGTAATAAGGAGCAAAGATAAATTCATCGAGAAAATCGACGATCTTTGACATACATCAACACATTAATCGAATCGTGGAGGATGTCGAACGAACAAAGAGCTTTATATTGTGTCATTATCAAATGAGGAAACCATAGATTTGCAAGACAACAACAGAGAACAAACCAAAACAGAAGAAAAACGCTGTTGTTGCTTGTTTATTGTGTTTCTTTTTTTCTCATTAATATCTAAATATTGTTGATGGGTAGGAGGAGAATAACGATAGTTCGCACTCACTCAGTCGCTTATTGATGATGTGAAAAGAGAGGAAGGAAGAAAGAATGAATAAAATGTATGAGAACAAAACGTTTGCTCTTACGACTAGCTGCCACACACATTGCATACATGCTCCTATAACAACAATAACAGGATCGACGACGATGCAAAAACAAATGCGAGTAGAAGAAAGAGAATGCTTACTACTTTCCTTCATTTTTCTCTGTCTCTCTTTCTTTCTTTGTTAGATCCATTTCGTTCTTTCTTTCTTTCTTCATCTAACGGCAAGAAAAACTTGATAAATGAATTTCTTTTACTCTATCTCGTTGATGTGCCGTACACACATACTATCGAAAAGAAAAGACGAGGAAAAAGAACATCGTCTCGCACCCGTGCAATGACGAGAAAGAGAGAGAGAGAGACAGAGAGGCAGAGAGAGAGAGAGAGACGGAGAGGAAGAGAAAGAAACAAAGCAGGAAATCTATTTTCATGCCCCAATAGGCGGTATGTGGTTCTGTCTGGCTCTCTTCTCTCACTTTCTAAATGCGTGCATGCAGGTGTCTCTTTCGATAGGCTTGTTAAGACGAACAAGGACAAATAGTAATACAATACTAGATGTATAATCGATCAAGATTCTTCTTCTTTTTTATAGAATAATGCTAATTGTAATTTTTTCTCTCTATCTCTATTACTCTAGATCTATTTCCATGTATTAGTCTTGTTTGTTTTGTCATGTTACAATATCATGGATCAATTACATTTGAAATAGAACGAAGAATATCAATGTTTTTAAAACCAATGATTTCATTATTCTTTTCATCGTGATGGATAGACCATGATCATAATGGCAACAAGTACAACAGTATCTAATAATATTTCAAATTCCTCTTCGTCCAATAAAACATCAATTACATCTTCACCACCAACAACAACATCAATAATGACAACAACAAATAATGTAACAACACCTACACCAACTGTTGAGCGTGTGATGAAAAGTAAAAGAAATCAAAGTTTTTCAGAAAAAGAAAAAAAATGAAAATTTTTATTTAAATCTTCTAGACATTCCATGTCCACCAAATACACGTTTAAGTGCATATGATGTATTCGATTCACGTGGAAAACCACGTGTTGA